TTTAGCTTGCAGTGTCCTGTTCACCAGTACTCATGCAATGAGATCTAAATCTGGTTAGATAATGCAAATGTGTTAAAACCAACATATAAAAATAGGACACTAGAAAACAAGTAGGGAAATTATTGAGCCTTCTCATTTTCAGGGGAACCAACACACTTGCCACTTAGCAGATGTCATCGCTTTGCATTCCTTCCCATCACAATGGAAACATCGCTCTGTTACCTGTCCCAAGCAAATCCATCACTGTGTACAGGGACGCTCACTGCTCCACCTGCTCGGAATTGTCTTGTCTCAGATGTTTCTGTAGTTCCCAAATTTCCAACAGTTCCCTGCCTACTACATCCTTTTTATTAGCATTTCAAAATGCTCAGTTCTCTTTGGTATTTAAAACCATTTACCTTCGATACCGGGTCCCCCTTCCCGTCTGCTGTCCTCCCTCAGCAACTCACTTGAAAGATTTTGTGGCACTCACTATTTTTACTTTCTTTTCTCCCATTCTCTGGCTTGTGTTCTTGTCATGTGGTTTTTTTGTGTTTTTTTTTTTTTTACCAAACCCACCAGAATCTTTTTTTCCTTTCCTGGTGACCAGCCACCACCACAAGCCAAAGCCAAAAAATCCGGCCTGATAGCGAAGGCTTCCTCGCCTTTACGCAGGCCTCATGCTCCACTGAGCTACACGGCTGGAGATCTCACGCGTCTGCCCGCCTCGCCCCGTCCCATTCCTGGTGTCTACGCTTCCAGACACAGGAGAGTCCAGATGAGGGCCCGCCTCTGTCTCCCGGGCTGCTCAGCCCCACTCCGCCGTCTTCACCATGGTAACAATACTTTTCTCCTGTAGCCAAATGGGTCTTCTCTACAGGGAACCTCAATCTTTCACTCCTCTGGTTAAAACCCGTGAGTGGCCTCCACTGTCCTTAAGGCAAAGCCTAAAGGCCCCGTTAGGAGCCTGCGTTTGTAACCTCATGTTTTATCTAGAAAAATTCATGGAGACATCAAATTCTGGCTCATAATTTATAAATGATATTATAAATTACCTACAGCGAAGCTTCTCAAACTTGGCCTCTGAAGCCTTTGAAATCTTCAAGTGAAACTGATGCATCAGCAAAGCACCACCATTTGCCTGGTGGTTTGGAGAACTCCCAACTGATCTAAAGTCCTAGTCCTAGAATATCAAGACAGGATGGCCTAGCCACCTTTCTTCTTAGGGAGGATGCAAAACCCACTCACTCTCAGAGGGAGCTGGTTTCCTTTCCTCTGGCCTAAAATTTGTTTGTCTTGAGATTCTAGTGGAGTTCTAGGAAATCTTACGTATTCTTAAATGGTTCCCTCCCCTCCCAGGGGTGTGCAAAAGTGAGGGCTTCCTAAGCGTAAAAGAACTCATCGGAATTGTGAGGTTGGTCACGACACATGGCTTTCCTGCTCCCTTGAGTCCCCGTCTCTTCTTTAACCATGCTGCTTATGCTCCAGTTTTCCCTAACTCGGTTAAACCCCAGGAACTGCTCGGTCTGAAACCTAGCTATTGTTCTCGATGCCCCTCTTTCTCCTGTGCATGCCACCTGATACGTAAATATTGTGGGGCTCACCTGCAAAATTGACCTTAAGTGCAATCGTCTCTCATCACGTCTCTCATCTTCTGCTGCTATGCCCACTCAAATCACTCTTATCTCTCACGTGCGTCACTGTAATCATCAGTCTGGTCTCTCTGATGCACATGCACTCACTCACTCCCAGGACAATATATTTTTCACACAGTAGATAGCTTTTAAAATACAAAATCCACCACGTCACTTTGTTGCCTAAGAGTTCTCCAGTTGCTCCCCGCTCTGTTTATATTAACTTCCTGATTCATTACAGTCAGGGGCCACTTCACGACGGCGATACGTTCCTACAAATGCATTGTTCAGCGAGGCCGTCATTGTGTGAACATCACAGAGGC